AGGAGGCTATCCTAGGAATCTGCAACCTGTTGTATTTCAAGTCTAACCGAAGACACTGTAAGCACCGTTCAGAATGCTGAGGACAGCTGGGGCGTGCCCAGAGGCAGCAGTGGCTTCGTTCTCTGAGGACGGCCGTGCCGCCCTGTTGGCTGCGCGGTGCTCCGCTCACCTGCACACGTTCAGACCCGCGCTGCTCGCCCCGTCCCCGTGCTGCCTCAGCAATTCTTGCCGCCCCCGCGCCGCGCTCATCAGGCAAAACAACGCTCGGCTGACAGGCGGCCTCGAGCTCACGGTACCTGGGCCCGGACTGCTGCACCAGAGGACCGTTCCGGCCGCCCCTTTTCGGCCCGGCACCGTTTGCCTCAGGCAGAACAAAGTAGGAGCGGTATATAGGCGTGTGGGCGCCTCCTCGGCCCCCCGCGCGCCGCGCTCGCCTCAGGCAATGGGCGGTAAAGCGCAGCGCGCGCACGAGGCAGCCCCTCGCTCACCTGAGGGAGCGCCGCCGCGGGCTCCTCCCCGACCCGGCACGGCGGCCCCGGCACCCCCTCCCCCTCAGGAGGGGCGGGCAGTCCGCGCTCGGCTCTGGCGGAGAGCGGGACTGCCCCGGGGCGGCGGTGAGAGCGGCTCCGAGTTGTTGGAGAGAGCAACGGTGAGGAAAGGGTGGAGACGGGGGCGCTGGGAACCGAGGGGAGACGGCACGGCGCCGCATGGATCTCCTCGTGGGGACGGGCGGGCAGGCAGACGAGCGGAGGGCCGCCGCGTGACCTGAGCGGAGAGCAGCGGGCACCGGGGAGCGGGGCGGCCGGGCTGTGGATGGGGCTCCCCGCGGGTCGCTGGCGTTCCCCTTCATCGCTCCGTTAAGCAGGCGCTTTCCGAAGGCCGAGGGCGCCGTGAGGGAGGTACGGAGCCGCTCTTCGCACGGCCGTGCTGCGCAGCTGGCAGCGAAGCGCCGGGCCTTCCCCACCCCGGCGCCCCTCGGGGCAGCGCTTCGGGTGCGGCGAGCGGAGGCGGGCACGCTGCCAGCGGGCCGCGGGGACGGCAGCTGCCGGGAAAACCGCCTCCAGCGAGCCCCGAACTTTTCTGCCGTGAAAGGGAGGGGTCTCTTCTGGCCCGGGCGGCGGTGCGGTGCCTCTGCCGGCCGTGCCGCTGTGCTCCCCGCGCTCAGGTGAGCGGGCGCTGCGCGGAAGGCCGCGGAAGGCCGTCAGGTCGCCGTGCCCGCGCGCGTTCCTCCGGGATTCCCCGCATTCCTGAGGCGGGGGCCTCTCCGACGTGCTCGTCTCCCTCTTGCTCCGCAAATTGGCGTCTTTTTTACGAAAGGGTGTGTCCGCCTTGTGTGTGCTCGCATCGTGGGAAAGGCTCTCGCTTCAGCCATTTGCGCTGCCCGATTAACTTTAACTTTGCGTCGGGTGTATGGTTTGTATCCCTGCCGTCTGGTGACAACTTCGTTGATCAGCGCTGCCGTACGGCTTTTGTGGTGAATTTGGATTAACATCTGCCGTCGACAAAAGATTAGTTGTACGGCTTTTATCTTTTGCCTGTAAGTTTGGTTTAGAGTCGAATTTCTTTGTGGTTTTTTTTTGGGTTTTTTTTTTTTTTTTTTTTTTTTTTTTTTCCCCAAGCAAAATAGTTTTTGTAGTTCACTGCAGTGGAGTTGGAATAATTACCAAGGTAAAAATAGTGGAAGCTTGTCCTCGAAGATGGTTTTATTTATCTGAACGTTTATTTGCATGCGTTCATAAGATGAATCCTGTAGATGAATCAGACACCCCGTAGGATACGGTTATTTGTGGTATCATTACAGATGATATCCATATGAATCCGAGGCATTCAATGTCTGATGTTTATTCTGACAACAAACTGTCACAAGACTCAACAGTTAAGGTTCTCTATAGAGCAAGTTTTAACAGACCTTTAAAACTTTCATAAAAAATACAATTAAAATGGCAAAACCAAAATACTGATTAATTTTTCGAGGTGGTTTGTGAGAACTTGTTTTGCTAACAATTATATTTTCTAGACATGTCATTATGTGATGAGGTTTTTTTCCTTACCCAGAGTAAATTCCCATATATGCACGCTGTACGCTAAGCCAGGTTTGGTTACCACAGCGTAATGTAAGAGGTGTACGATGCAGCTAATAAGATTTCGTTGTTGTTTTAAAAATGAAATTAGAGTGCAAGTAAAAACTCAGGTCTTTTGTTTTGGAAAATGGTGCATGCAAACCTTTACATAGAGTAGTGAGAGGTATCATTAATGGTGTGATAAGCACTGCTTTATACCAAGGAGATAAAGGAATGTGTCATGTTTTTACTGGGAATTGTCATACTTTTATTGCATGTTATTCTTTCTTTGGCACACAGCCAACTATACTTGCACATACGCTGGTTGAAAGATGTGCTTTTATCTGTGTGCCTCTTTACAAACTTGAAACGGAAATCTCAGTGTGGAATTAGAAAGCTGTTTTTGTAATTTTGATTTAAAATTCATATGTGATGTTAAGATGGATTATCTTTCCATAATAAGTAATCATTATTAGTAGAGGACGATGTTTTTTATAGGTTAACACTGAGAGTTCTTTTAACGTATCAGGATATGTTACATAAGTATCTATTTAAAATATAGAGGTGTTTTGCAAATGTATGGGTAGACAAAACGAAGTCCTAGTTGGTTGATGTTGAATTGCAAATGAAATTGTTTCTAAACCCACTGCAAAGGATTATTTTTGCAAATGTCCCTAATGTTATGGTAGTCATGAAGAGGGACGGCATTCATTGCTAATCTGATTGCTTACAGAATTTGTGGTAATATCCCGAAGAGATTGTCTTAGGCTGCCTGAATTGCCTCCAAGCAAACCAACTTATTTCAGTTTCTGTTAACTGCAGTATTAGGTTCTCACTATCACTATTAAAACGTTTGAGAATACACTTAAGTTTCCTCTGGTGAGGTGTATACAGGAGATATGGAATTTAATTCATGGTAAGAATGTTGTGTGGTGCAGTGATGGGTCACGTGAGAGGAATTCCACCACAGTGAAGAGATGACAAGGTAGAAACAAAGAGTTTGTGACAGTACTCTGTTTCTTCTTCTGCATTGTGTAATAGGAAGTTGATCTTTCTGGGAGTATTGGTCAAACTGGTTTGACTGGAGTCTGCAGTGTAATCTGAAATGTGTAGATGGAGTGGCATGACCTCGCACTTGAATTTTTAAATTGTTGTGAAGCAGCATGAGTTAAACGTTTTTGCAAAGCCTTGCTGCGTGTAGTTTACTAAGTCTGGACTACACTGGGCAGATTCTTATGTAAAAATACCAACCGTAAGGATTTGGAGGTCTAATAATTCTGCAGATGTGAGAAGTTACCCCAGAGTAGTCCAGCATTGTTTCGTTGTCAGCCCGGTGTTTTACTATTTCTGCTTTTTTTTGAAGAAATAGTCAATAGTGATGTTGTTATCTCACCTTTTTACTATGTTGAAGACACAAAAATGTGTCTGTAAATACCAAACACCTGAGCCCGATTGCCCAAAATGGCATTCAGCCTTTTGTTGTGTCTGCCTGCCTTAATGGAGGGGAAATGGCAGATATCTGAACAAGATCACTGATGCTAGCAGATTTCCAAGAGATGACAACGAACACTAAAATGGGCCATTTTCCCCATCTCTGTGTAACTCTGAACACTAGCAGCACTGATTGAGCTACTGCCTATGTATTCAGATGAAGCAGACTTTGGAAATTTATACTTGTTCTTTTCTGCCTGTCTGCCTCACTTCTTCCTTTTTAGTATTATTAGGGAGTTATCTTCTACCTGATTAGTTCAGTGATGTGATTCAGAGCTAGCCTTTACAAAGAACTACTTTACAGTGTAAGGATGAGCAACTAAGTGTCTGGAAAAGGCAGGATGCAATGAAGATAGAAATTCTCCAGTTTGTTCCTACCAACTGCATACTGGATAAGATGGAACTGTCTTGAGACATCCTCAGCTTAGGTTTGGCCATTCGTAAGTCTTCTTGCAAGTCTTGAAAGCTGTGTTGGTAGTATGTACTTGAAATAAGTTACTACTATTGATGTTTCAGACCTTCCTTAACAAAAGGATGGAGAATACATCTTCTGTGGAAGAATGTTTTAATTGCCAGTCTGTTGCATGAGGGAAGGTGCTGTTTGTGTTTGTGGAGTATTGTTTCAGGCATGTTCACTTGGAAATATTAACACGTTTCAGAGATCTGACTTTGATTCTTGGAGTGAGTTAAATCTAAATAGTAGTGTGTTTCAGAATGTGTGAGCGTAACAATTTAGTGCTTAAACCTGAGAAATTAACGTTAGGAATGTGTGTATTGAAGATCCAGTGAAGTGGTAGTCATGGAGTCGCCACTGTTTGGGATTAGAGTTCAGGGTATTGCTGTGACCTTGTACCATCTCTGCCAGCAGAGCTGGCAGCCTTCTTGAAGGAGTTTATCCAAGTGTAGCCTTAAAACCTTCTGGTTTATGAGAAATAGAATGAATGATGAAATTCATAGCTGAACATTTTAAATATCTAGTGTAATTTTTCCGTGTATGTTTTTTTGCTAACATGAACTCCGTTTTCTAAATTAAATTGATCCATCTCCTGTATTTCCAGGACCCATTAACTAGATTGACGGTAATAATGAATATTCTCTAATAATTTTGTCATATTCTGCTTAATATCGGAGAGCAATGAGAAACAGAGATGAAGAGGTGTTTTGGAAAGCGTTTTCTTAAACTCTGCCGCCCGCGGGGGGGGGGAGGGAGGGACCAAAAAACAGCCAATCAAAAAAACACCACCAAAAAGCGCCAGCGAGTCTGTTAAGACTGGAGGATGCCTACGGTTTGTCTAAAACTGCTCCTTTTTGTGAGGGTCCCCGTGCTCTGTCATGCAGGCATGCTAGGAGTCATTTCCATTCAAATGGCCGCATGACTCTCAGCTGTCTGAGCATGATAAGAGTTTTACTCTAGGAATTCGCGGAACTTAATAACTCTTTAGTAGCTAATGTGTAAATGTACTCTGAACAGGAGACTTGTTGGCTAGGCTCCCTTTGCATGCACATTCGTGTATGTGGGCCTGTGGCTTTTTTGTATGTGTGTACGTGTGCATACATAAACTCAGTAATTCTGAGCAGCTGAAGTTTAATAGAAGAGGAAAATGTATTTTCTGCACGTAAAAGCACTCAAAAGTGGGTAAAGATTTGTGATCTATTTTAACATAAAACACAAGGTAAAAGTGGGTAAAATTTTTCTCTAGATGTAGGGAAATGTTCTCAGTGATGTGAATCAAGTTCAGATTATTTTGTTAGACCTTCAGAAGGCTGTTACTGGGCGGGGGTACGCCTTCATGTAGTCATTTGCAGACCATTAGCTGTTACATCAACTCAACAAATGTCTAGTATTTGCTCCCCTAATTGGTTCAGCAGCAGCCTTTATTTACAAGAACAGTTGGTATGTAATGTTACATACATTTCCTCAAACGCTTGCAGCCTCATAATGAAGCTCTCTCACTTCCCCCCAGCAATTACTCTTCCCGTCTGAGGGTGAGAAGAGTGGTGACCTGTGGGATCTGGTTCAGCCGAAGCGTACAAGCAGGGCCAACACTGTACAGCTCTGTCAGCGTAGGTTTTGCAAGTCCTTCAAGTGATGCATCTCCTGGAGCGGTCCAGCGCTATGAAGCCGCTTTCCTCCATGGAGTTATTTAGTCTCTATCCTCTGCTCAAGTCCTCTCAGACCGAACCATGATATCATCTTGTTGTCTCGTGGCTGGGCTGAGAGCCCACAGTTCAGACTGTGTATTGAAGTTCTAAAATCCATGGTAGAGTTCTCTGAAAGAGGCTAGTGTTTGAAGAATAC